CTGATCATTTATGTATACATTTGTCTATATCTATCTCGATTCGTTTTGGCTGTTACAAACAACCGTTATGTGAACAAAATTAATATACCCTTGTGCACAAGTGCGCTCGGGTATAAAAAATGTTCGCCGGAATTATAATAATGAGATTTTATATGCTGTTTCTTTTTTGAACTTTTTCAAAGATTGCTTTAAGAAAACTTGAATAACTGGGCCAAAACTATGCCGTTTTACAATAGTGAGGTAGCAGTGGAAGTTTTTCACGTCCTAAATTTTTTCTCAAGTACCAACACATCGCACGTTTAATAATATAGAGATGTAACTCAAAATTTATGATTTTGGACATGTCATTACGCAACCAATAAGTTTGATAAGTAGAAAATGTTCAGTTTTACAGATAACCAAGCTTCCTAAATATGGCGAAGATTTTCTGGTTTACAGCAAAAATGTTCAATGGATGCCACTATCCAATTTCAATATAGAATTGCTCGCTGATTCCAAAAATCTAGTTAATTTTTTATTCTATGGATAAGTTTTCGAGATATTTTCAATTTACCGTTATTCAACTTAAAAAAAACATGGTTCCACTTAATCACGTATATTTTGCGAACCAATTTAACAATCTTAATATGAATACGGGAAATGAAAGCCAATAAAATTCCCCATAAACCATCATCACTTTCCGATAGGACTTATAGTTTATGACAAATTAATTAATCATTCCAGTTTTTTTATTTTTTAATGAAAAAATTAAAAAAATCAAACTTTAGCAGAAGAAATATTTTAACAATAACAGGTCTGTGCACAATTTTTGCATCTGTGCTATAGCCTGTTTTGCTACAAAAAAAGTCAAGTTACTACTGAAGAAAATCAATGGATAAATAAATAAGTAATAATGGTGCAATGAAAATACGCCAAAATTTTTTGTATGAAAAATTAGCAGGAAAGAAAGTTACTCATACGCCACGTCCACCTGAGTTACACGCTTTTCTTCTCATATATGTATGTAATAAATGATGAAGAAAATATAAAGCGAAACTTCGGTAAGCTTAAAGAAATACAACGGCATTTGAAAATTAGTATGCGCCTTATATATACGGAGAACATTTGTTTGTAGGCTACAAAGAAAGATTCCCTCTAGATAGGTTCACTTGGCCATAAAAATGTACTCTACGAAAAATTTTCAAAATCGAGGAGCCTTAAATTTACATACGCTAATTCATTACAGTTTACATCAAATAACACGACATCCATGGGGGAAACAAAAACGACTTTTCTTCAATTAGGACGTATGACCAAAAACTAAGCAATTGTATTTTCTTAAAATTTAATGATTGTAGTGCGTAATAACAGAAAAATGTTAAAAGAAAAATTGCGCCTAGATGAAAAATTTAACAACGAAATTGATTTTTGCAGTCGATTTCTTACATGCTAGAGCCACCTACTAAAAAACTACTTGTATACCTTTTTTTGTATTAGCTCCGCTGAACCTGTACGATCTAAAAGCAGTTATATTTCCCGATCTGATTTTTGAGTTAGCTCCCTTTAAATCTAGATGTGCGATATGTGCATTAGACTGTAAATATGTATATCCAAAATTTAAATTTCTTCCAAATGAAACACGGACTAAATATGTATTTGTTGATATTGGTATTAGAAGTGCTTGTCACTCATACGCCCTGGCATGTGAAGAGACTTGTGAATGCGTCAAAATGAAAGACGTCAAACTAGAATTCAATGATTACAAAATTTATTTATTCAATAAAAAATACAAAATGCCGTTGTATGTTGTTAAATGAATATGCCTCAGTGGCGTTATTGCGTTATTGTTAACTACTGGTATACCGCTTGCAATTCCAATGAACTCACTTTGATTTACGAGTGTTGGCAGCGGCACGCAGATTAATAAAAAGATTAAATAAATAATTATGTACAATGAAAACAAGTTTAGTGTTTTAAATTCTATGAGCTTGGTGTTCATGTTCTCAACTCTTTTAGTTTCTCGAAAGTTAATGAGGCAATACTGGAAAGCTCTCATATGCGCCGTTAGACGTTGTTTCGAGCATTGGTCGTCTTCGGCTATAGGCGGCGGAAGCATAATGGCGACGGCACTTAAGCGGCAGAAGCATAATGGCGACGGCACTCGGGCGGCAATCATCTGATCAGCGGCAGCTGTCTGATAACTTGTGGGACTTTTCCTAGAACTTAAGCGGTAGCGGTGAATTCTTTCGGATTCATATTGTACATCGGGTATCATAGCCTTGAAGGCGTGCCAGAACGGCAGGGAGTGAAAACAACAGCATAGTCGTCGACGTTGATTTAGCTCCATCCTTAATCTGCGGAATAAAAAGGTCGAAAAATCAATTAGTTGTTTGCAATTCTTTTTCTATTGGATGTGTGAGTGTGTGTGTTTGTGATTTGTATAGTGTTAATTATGTGGCTTCTAAAAACTACCGAGAGTTTAGATATTACATACACTGAGGATAACAATCACAGTATTTTGCAATGTTGCGGGTGATGGTTCCCGCTTTAGTACGCCGCACCAAAATTATTTTCCGACATTGGTGGAGGCTGGTCACACACACGAGCCGCTACTAATTTGGCGGCATAAATCAGCATTTTAGCATACTATTTTCCGCTTAGAGCATAAATCTTTATTCAAGGCGTAAAAAAACTAATAAATTTCACTTTTGCAAACGCGTTTTATTATTGAAACAAAAGACGAAAACGAATGTAAAATTAAGTAAATGAAGACAAAAAACTAACTGAAAATAACAAGCAGCTCGCGTTTAGCTGACAATCTGCTAGAGACTCCATTCAGTTCTGTGTGTTCCCAGCGTTGTCCCCTAGTTGCCGGCTCTGATAGGAAGCCAAAAGTATTTCCGGCCTATCAACCGACTAGATACGACTGCTACTTCTAAATTTTCATTATCAACTAATAAATTACAATTTTTGACACATTTACGCCACCACACTCTAATATATACCACGTATACATACATGCATACTTGTAGATATATAACAATTACTTGAACTCTTGGTTACTCCAACTTTTACGCATTTGCTTCATTCATTCAGTTAGTAAGTTTTTGCTACCAAATTTTGGCACGACCGCTTAAAACTTTGTGATCTAACTGATATGTATGAGCGTGCGTATATATGTGCATATGTATTTGTGTAAGTTTGTGATGTAAAACATAAGTATACCGCCTCTTGAAAAGGCTAGTCCCTCTCTATTAAACTTCACGCAAAACCACGGCTAGACAGGATGACTGGCTCTCCCCAAAAATATTAACATTTGTATGTTTGACTGATCTTTTTGCCGGTTCCTTGCTTTTATTTGGTGGCGTCAGTGGTTGCAAGCTATTGTCGGTGACAGCTTGAGAGCATAAACTAGTCCTACAAGTCATAAGTTATTTAAGTTATGCATGTGCTCTGATTTATTGCAATGACCCAATAACTTCCGTACATACATATATACAGCTGTCCGCAAAATAATAGGAGTGTGATAATTTGATAGTTTGAAATCTGAATTTATATGGTGTTTGTTATATAACCAGCTATTGTAAACAAATAATAAACTTCCATACTCATACGTCCTTATGAACTAAAAAATTTAATTTTTTTAATTTTAAAGATTTTTATTTTTTATTTTTTACCCATCTTGTTCCTCCATCCTGTACAAAATTTTTAAATAATTTTTTGACTACATAACCCTATTTTTTAAATTCAAAGTCCTTACAAAAAAAATCTAAACACGCAGTTTTTCTCTATTGTTCCCATAATTTTTTGAAAGAATTTTTACAAACAGAGCTCTCTGTAGGAATGAAAATGAATGACACCTCCAGCATAAATAAAGTATCAAGAATCAACGAGATTTCTTAGCAACATTAAACTTGCACTTCATTGTACTAAAAATTGTTTTGTTTTAAATTCTGATCAAAAAGTTTGAAATATTGATGAAATTTCGCTGAATTTTCATTGTTTTGTTGTGAATTGAGCTACATGTATTTTAATAAAGAATTAACGAAAAAAATTTACGATAAAAAACATGATTTACTTTGTCCTTAACATTCAACTTTGCTAGTGTTTTGTGCCTGTCCGCTTTCCTCCATAGCAAAAAATAAAAAACAAGCATATTAGTGGCCGCTGTCGTGTAGTGGTTAGTGTGCGCTACCCCTCCGCAGGGCCTGGGTTCGAGCCCCGTTCAACCCTACACCCAAAAAATAAAAAGCAAAAAATTTTGTTTCTAATATCGGTCGCCCCTCGGCATGCAATGGCAAACCTCCGAATGTATTTCTGCCATGAAAAACAGCTTCTCACAAAGTCGGCGTAAAACTGTAGGTCCCTCCACTTTGTGTGAGAACATCACGAACATATGTGTAAAGCAGGGATCACACGATTTGTACATTTGTACACAAAATGCCAAATTTAGATTTGTCCACATTTGCGCATTTGGATAGCGATGTACAAATGATTTGTTTTGCGATCAGACGATTTGGCTGCCAACGATCCAAATGATTTGGCACACATTTGCGCACAGCAGTAAAGTGACAAATACTGTCCACATTCATTCACACGATTTAACCATTTGGTCAGAAATACTTAAACAGCTGATCCGGTGTCAACCATACTTTTGCATTTATGATTTCGTGAGATTTGAAGTGATATAAACAAAAATAATATATACTCAGAATTTTGAATACACCCTCAAAATCTGGGCTGAAGGTAAAAAACGCGTTTTTCATAGGTTTAAGCATATACTTGCTCGTAACTCTATTTCTGTTTGCCCGATGAAAAATACTTACATATGCCATTTAAGAGAAAACATTTCGTTGTTTACAACCATTTATAAATGGTTAATTTGTCTTGAGAATGGGCACCCTATGTATGTATACTAGTTAACAATATAGACGGACAAGTCGTAATTTAAAATGAAAAAAAGTTAAAAATTTAAATTTTTCATATCGATGGCTGAGTGGAAGATCGACCTATCTCGGAAGTCAGTTCAAAAACGCCCTGTCTCTGAAAATTTTTCAAGAACGCCCTACTTCAAAGTTTGATTGAAAAACGCCCTATTTCAGAATTTGGTTGAATAACGCCCTATCTCAGAATTCATTTCAAAAACGCCCTATCTCAAACGAAAATACATTGAAAATAAGCTGATATAGGGCGTTTTTGAAACGGCAGCTGAGATAGGGCGTTTTTCAATGAAATTCTGAAGTAGCGCGTTCTTGAAAAGTTTTCTTAGATAGCGCGTTGTTAAAAAATTTTCTGAGATAGGGCGTTTTCGAACTGGTTGCCGAGATAGGTCGATCTTCCACTCAGCCATCGATATACTCTGTAAGATTCCTTTCAGTGATCGGACTTCTACCACATTGTTGTAGATCTGCCACTTTTTTGAACACACCTACCACACAAGGTCTGAAATCTACCACATATTCGCGTTTTTGAGTAGTTTTATTTTTGCTCAACATAATTTTCTTAATTTTAAGAGCAAAAATTGTCCAACACTAAACACTAACAACAGGCAGAATGGGAGGATAAAATAAACTGTAAAATAGTAAATTTTTTCAATATTCAATTTTTCGACATGAATTATTGAAAGAATTAATAGCGAAAATTATAAAAACCGGCGATTTTTGTGAAAGCATTAGCAAATTTCAGTGCATCTCAAATTTCTAAAGCGTTGTTTACTTTTACTTGAGAATTGTCAAAATCGGCAAATCACAAGTAGCTTTTCTGGAGCGAGCGTACANCAAGCAGCATTTTTGGAACGAGCCACATTTGTTCGCTACATCGTGATGTGATAAAAAGAAAAGCTGGCAGCACTCTGCAAGGTTGCAGAAATCTTTCAAAATATGTTCGAAACTGTCAAGGAAAAAAATTGCCAAAACCAACGGAATTTTCATCAACTTAAATCTTGCACTTTATTATACTAAAATTAATTTTGTTTTAGATTCAAATTAAAATGTTTGCGATTTAGGAGAAACCTTGCAGATTTTTTTTAATTTTTGTACAAAGTTTGATCCAAACCCTGAGATCTACCACATTTTTATGAAATCTACTACATTTTTTTTTAGATTCTACCACACAAATTTTTTGTAAGTCCGATCACTGATTCCTTTGCCATTTCTTAAAATAAATTATCAATTTAAACATTGTTGTAAGCAGCGAAATGTCTTATCTTGAATCACATACATATATACGTATTTTTCACCGGGTAAACAGAAATAAAGTTACGAGCAAGTATACCTATGCGTCACCCTTTGAAAACGCGGTTTTTGACCTTAAGCCCAGATTTTGAGGGTGTATTTAAAATTCTGAGTATGCAGATTTTACTGCTTGAATAGACCTACAACAAGTATGAACCTCGAAAAAACTATACATTTTGTTTTTGTCACACAGTGTAATTTAGATCGTCTTTAATAATCCGTATATCGTCGTTTAAAGTACAAAACCGCGTATCAACAAAATGCAACGCCGCCTATGTGAGGTTGCATAAATTATTATCTAGATAGTAAAAACACTCATATTTCAAAATGGTTCTCTTTTTTATAAAGCAATCGCATTTCTGGATAGTATATTTCAGGACGAATGGACAAGGATTGAGCCAACAGCTTCTGGAAGCAAATTCAATGTATGGCAGCAAATGCCAGTTACGCGATTTTGCAGAATAACGATACGCGGTTTTGTACTTTATACGACGATATGCATGGATGTATATGTGTATAACCAGCAAAAACTGCGGAAAGAGATCCGAAAACTGAAAGAAAGGTGAATAGTAAAGTGCCACGAAGGGTTGTGAAACGAATACTTTTCCGGTTGGTTTTCTGAAATTTTTCATTCTTAACTTCAAATATGCTTTTTCATAGTTAATTATACTCAGAAATTAATTATACATTTAATATGTTCGTCTGCCGGCATAAGAACCTGGAACCTCATGAAGGTTACAAATAGTCGCACGCTTCTCTGCACACTCAGCTACTGTCGAATACGTATATGTACATGTTTTCAAATGTTCAGTTTGAGCAAATATTTTAAAATTATTGTTTTCAAATAACGTGATATTTTTCGGTAGTTTTCGGATACGAATATTATATTAAATATTAAAATTTTACCAAAATTGGAAAATACAAAGGTTCACAAGCACGAAATGGCAATACCGCTCAACAATATTTGTATATTTGTCACTGGCATTTGTCATCAAGTGGCAAATCAGATATTTGGTCATTTGCGTAATTTTTATTTGGCTTATGTAGCAGCATTGCGTTCACACGATTTGGCCACCAGGGTTGTTTTTCATTTGCCACAAGAAGGCAAATATTTGGCTTTT